ATAAATATATGATTTTGAAGCTTAAGAATTGTACTTTAATGTACTTTTGGCCCGATCTTGCTATTTGTTTTTGTTCGTGTTCTACAAGCATGTGTGCATTACTTTTCAGCCTGCCCTCGTATAATAGTTGTAATTTCATTTAATTTTTAGAACTAGGCCTATATCTTTCACTTTTATATTCCTACGGGTTTAAAATGAGCCAGGAAAACTTCTCCAGCTACAAAATTAGACTGCCATATTTCTGAATTGATTGAATGTCACATATTTTATTATACACGGTTTAAACATGTTTTACAGTACAGAATGTTTCGTAATGCACGCTTGACATTTTATTGTGATTACATTATTAAAGATACTGATTTGAAATTTGTTGAAGTATGCAGTAACATTTCAAGTCATGTTAGTATCTATCAGTTTAACCTACACCAGTGATTTGACACATAACCCAACGAAATTCGAGTTTTTTTCGTATTACTTTGTTCAAGAAGTCTATATCGACTAATTTCTAACGATCATTTGATCAACAGTCTGGTTGAGTTGATATTTTAGATTACGAACAAACAGTTTGTGTATTTGTTCAAGTTTCATCACTACACTTTCTACCAGTGCTTTTATTTACACATAAGAAATTGGTTTCACTGAACGATTTATAGCAATGTATAAATCATTTTTCTTATTGGAACAGGCTTGTCGTATATAGAAACTATGACAGCCATAAAAAACCACGAGTTATACATCTCACGAAATTTTAACAGACTGTTTTTTCTGCACCAACGAAACCTGCAATTTTCTCAAACAGACGCAGCTCCGCTGGTAGAAAAATGTAAGCTATTGAAATTTCTGGAAGAAAACTTGCACTATGAAAGGTAATTTTATAATAAACATTGCTCCTATTCATTTGCTATTTTCGTCGCAGTAATTTCCGAAAAGTCTTTACTGCATTATAAAACACTCTGTATATAAAACTTACTTATGTTCGGTTAATTTTAGATAGACATACATTCCTTATTAAAAGCATAGAATTCCATGAATCTGTAAGAGAAAAATGTGTTATTATATCATCTATATTTCCTTTCATAAAAGTTTCTTTCCTCCATTAAGCATCAGTTATCTATTATCTCCCTTAATTTAAGTAGCACTTATTAAATATCAATTATACATCATTGCAAAAAGTGTGAATCTTGTACACAACAATGTAGATAGAATTATAATAAAGTAGACAAATATTCGGTAAAGTTTATTTATGTATATCAACTCCATAAAATGCATTAATTAATGATTTCCAGAAAACTGGCATTTATCTTTTAGATTCGCATGTTTTCTTAGAAGAAGAATTTATTCTAAGCAACGCAACGAACACTGATACCATCGAAAACAAAAGTTACTAAAACTAGATCTAATTATTAATTCTCTATACGTAGAGTTGTCATACGTCTTATATGAATAGGTATGTAGTTCTTGTCTGCCACATTCCATATGCACTTAAATTCAGCAGATTGTTAAAAATTCAGCTAACGAATAAAATTCATTCAAATTCAGAAATTTAATAAAAGAAGATACGCGAAGAAGAATGTTTGTTTTCAACATTAAAAAAAGAGAAAAAATTGTTTTTCATTATACAGTACTGGGAAAAAATAAATTGCGCGTTTATTCTTGTTTACAATGTAAACAAGAATAAACGCACAATATTAACACAATATGTAACACAAACTCATTATGAAGAAACTGAATGATAAGAAACAACTACATAAAATCACAGTAGAAATTCTGTAATGAGAATTGTAGGATTGATGGGTTAAGGCAACGCAAAACATGGGCGATCTGTCAAGGAAAAATTTCTCCCGGAAGAACTTTCTATGGAAAAACACTCCTATTTAAATGTGTTAGACACGTGCGGAAAACTCTACCTGGCCAAACTGTTGATGAGGCACAAACCTGAGATCAACTACCGGTGTTCTATAATAAGAGCGTAACAGTAACATATACAGTATGTTTTCTGACTTTTCATGTTTCATTCTAGATTATTATTTAATTAATTTTAGTAAGAAATGTTTAACATTGAATAAAAAACATATAAAGATAAATCTACAGCCTCGAATTTAATTAATATCGCATTAATCACGTTCTAAACAAATAACTAACTTTATTAGGTTTAATGAAACAAAATTGAAATTCTTTTTATATCAAAAAAATTCGTCGATCAAACTTTTTGTTTAACTATACTTTACGATTTCCTAAAACTTTTCATTTTATAATAAATAATTCTTTTTCAAATGAATTTTATTACCATATTATAGGGCTAAGTATTTATTTGAACAAATTACCAAATTATATTTTTACAGCGATAAATTGTTTTAAATTTGATTTTATGCGTGATAGTTTATTTACTTACTCCAGTAAGTTGAGAAGAAAACTGTTATAAATTTGATTTTATTTAAATGTTAAAGCGCTAACGTATTTTTATATTTTAATGTCTTAAGTTATTATTATATTTACTCGAAACAAATAATTTTTATGGTAAATTAATTTGTAAATATTATTTAAAATAGAAGGAATTAAATTAACATAAATATGTAATTACTCAAAAAGCAAAGAAATGAAACTGTAAGCAATCAATTGATTTACTTGATCTAATGCAAGTTTTAATTCTGCTGATTGTTGCTGTCCAGCCAAAACCATATCCCGACTGAAATCATGCATGCTAAGGTCATTAATATACAATCCAGTATGAAGCATGGCATCCAAATCTCTCATTCTACGAATGAAAAAAATTACACAAATAATTTTGCGTAATACACAAATCTTTTTAATTATACATATTTAGAAAGGTTATTCTTATTAATATGTACTGTACTGTACTTACACTGGTGTTCCTAAATATACCATGCTTTTCCATTCTTCCATATACATCATTTGTCCCTTTAAATGTAAAAGTCTGTCCTCCATACCTATCGAAATATTGAAAACATTGTGTTAGAAATTTATCTTTCTGAAGCAGAAATAAATGCAGTGAAAACTGTTAAGCCAGACTCTTAGTAAGACGGAAACTTGCTTATTACGAATTATTTTCCTAGTCCCGTATCATGTAATATACAGTATCAGTCAGCGTAATTTCGTCTTCATAAGCCGGAAACTGATTAAATCGGAAAGCAATTTTAAGACCACAAAAGATAAAACAATCTGCTTAAGACGACGGTCCCACAGGTCGACTCTGCGACCGGTGAAGTGCACCAGGGACCACCGTCACATGCCATAGACGACATGCACACCGCAGTGGACGCAGCTTGGCAAGAGATACCTCAGGAACCGTTAATCGCCATATTGATAGTATGCCTCGCCGTATAGAGGCCTGCATAGCTGCCCGTGGGAGCCATATTAGTGCAGGAAAGCTGTTGAAGCCGAAACGATATTTTCGACCTTCTTGACTCCGGCTTAGACAGGTTTGACTTTAATATAATTATTTTGCGAGAAAGAGAATCCATAAGTAAAATAACGATAGTAATTAAATAAAGTATTGGAATGAAATTTCAAAAGTTTTTTTTACGTATTAAATCTTAATAAAAAACGAATTAGCCCCAGGAGCGTACCGTAGTGGGGGCGGCAGGGGCGGCCCGCCCCGGGCGGCACTTTTTAGGGGGCGGCAAAATTTCACAATAAATAATAATAATATCTTGTAAAAATTTGAAACATCCTAACCTATACTTGCATCGCGCCTACGATAGTGCTATCGTCCGGACAGTCCGGGAATCGGCTCGCCGTCCGGGTGAAGTAGTGATTTTTTTCATCCCAGGAAATCCTGCGAAACCTGCGAATAAAAATCCTGCGAATTTTTTTTATTTCGCTTGTACGATTTATTCGCGTTCATATACACCACTAATATCCAATAGAACTATTTTAAACAGGTCGCTGCACTACCACCGAATTTTTCATTGCTTGTTCTGTGACAAAACTGAATTTTGGTCTTTTAAATTGAAATACCTAAATAAGGGGGGCCGAAATTTTCCTCCGCCCCGGGCGGCTGATATCCACGGTACGCCACTGATTAGCCCATTTTATATTTTATATTTATTTCGATAATATAGCATTGTTCATATGCAACGTTAATCAAATCTCATTCAAATTCATTTATGTAAAATTACGTAACGTTATTTTTATACTTTTCACTACCATTCCAATCCCTTACGTTCCGTAACGTCGCCGCACATACCCCCAAATTTATGTAACGCCTATCGTCTATCGATTCAATTAATTTTACTAAGGAATAATACAGGGCAAGAAGTGCTGAACGTTACAGTATTTTATTAATTATATGTTTAACGTACAGTACAAAGCAGTGACATAGACAGTACGGTTTGCTATACAACACTTCAGAAACAAAAATAAACCTTTTTGTTACTCAAGGGTTGAGACACTAATATTATGTAACACTTTTGTAAATATCCCACCCCTTTGTAACGCATCATAACAATTACCTGTATACCCATCCCACTAAAAGCATTGTAACGATTATTTCCATACCCATTCACATATCTTTGTTATGTAATTTATGGACATGATTTGTGAACATAAATGATAATTTATATTAACACGAATTCGTGTTAGTATAAATTGTCGTTCATGGTCAAAAATTATTTTTACTGATATCAATAATAATATTCATAAATTATATATATATACAGTATATATAATATAATAATANATATACTAATATACTAATTACATGGGATATAATAATATACTACACTAATAATGGATTTTTTCATACTTTTCGGTTATCCGACTTTTCAATTATCCGACCAACCCCAGTGCCCAATTAGGGCGGATAATCGAGGTTCTACTGTATTTGAATGAGGTTTAATTTTTTGTAACGTTCTTGTAACAGAAATAACTTTATAGTTGTGTCTAAATAGGTTATAAACTTATTTCTGTCAATAATTCACTGACAAGAAAAACTTTGCCAATTATTTTTTCGAAGAAATTTTTTTCATATCCGATCTTACCTCACTAGTACTTTCCATCCTGGAAGCCGTATTGACGGTATCACCGAATAGGCAATACCTTGGCATTTTTAAGCCTACTACGCCGGCGACAACCGCACCCGAATGCACACCTAATAGAAGATTATTCAATAATAGCAGATATTAAAATCAAAATTATCCAAAATTTCACTCACCGACACGTATTCTTAAACTGTCGTTGGTAGACGGATCTCTCAAATCTCCAATAACAACAACCATATCTAATGCCATTTCGCAGACTTTTTCGGCATGGAGTGGGTCGTGCTCTGGTGCTCCACAAACCACCATATATGCATCGCCTATTGTTTCTACTTTGTATACTTCGTGCTTTTCTGTTAATTGATCAAACATACTATACATGGAGTTCAGCATCGATACTACTTCCATAGGTGTGATGCGACTACAAATTTCCGTAAATGTAACCACGTCGCTAAATAAAATTGTAACAGAATCGAAATACTGAAAGAAACAAAGAATATTTAGTGTTGTTATCAATATACAGGATTGGCTATAATTATATCCCCTATTTTATTTTAAAGTAATCGTCTTGCAATTCATTACACATTGTTTTTGATGTTACAAAACATATCCCGGGGGAGGATTTTGAATCTCACTTTATATGGCCACCTGCAATGTCAATGTATATGCTTATTCGGTGTTTAGTTTCTTCAACAACATTTCTGGCGTCACAACACGTACAGTTGATGCAATTTTATGTTCATAAGCTTCTGAATTGAGAACGGCTTTGTCACACAAGCGTGATCATCCATAAAACTCTAAAAGAAAAATCCAGCGAGTAATGTTGATGGTCTAGGATATCACTATCAATCCACTGTTCGGAGAAGAGATTTTTCAGAGTTGCACGACCCTCTCCACGAGATGTGCCCAATAAGGTGAATCTCCAATCAACTGGAGGAGACGTCATTACTAAGCATATTCTGTTGCCTCATGCCGGATGAATAATCTCNCACAATTTAATACATGTGTGACACATAATTATACAATATAATATATATATATATATATATATACTGATAGGCATTGATGTAGCCTATATAGTAGCACCTATATAATTTTAGATTTATTTCAAGTTTCTTTTCAAAGCTTTCTTTTCCGTTCACAACCGAAATTCTTATAACCACTAGTTATAAACTCAGCAAATGATACACAGACTGTTTACGATTCTCCCTCGGCAATAAAATTAAAATTAAAAAAAAGACGAGAAATTACTTGCACAAACTGAGAATGTTGAATTAGTTACTGAAAAAATTAATCTTTAGATGTATTTATTACAACGTAGCGTAGACAAACAATAACAATGTTTTTCAATATATAAAACATAAGTTTGTAACACGTATAACTAAAGGATACACGATATTTGTACAAAAACAAAACACAGAGCACACAGTGGTATACGCGATATATCCTGTATTTTTTAAATATTTGGTGTGGTAAATGTACAAAATAATCCTTGCTGATAGGATGTTTACACATTGCTGAGATGTTGTATTAATTTAAATACTTTTATAAAGTACACAAACTGGAAAAAACAATGCGTTACACACCCATAAGACAACGCACATAAGGGGAACTGAGATGAATAAATGATGAAATAGCCTACATATTAGGACATATTTATAAGGTACGCAGGGCGCAGCTGCACTCACTTTCCGAGACTTTTTCTCGAGTAAAGTCAAGTATCTCAGGTAATAAAAAAATTTATAAGGCATATTGTTGCCATTCTACACCCCGCTGTAAAACTTTCTGGATACATTATTGGTTCCCATGTATGTTGTTATTATTTTTTCTCTATCAGCAATTGCGTTTTTCTAAGGTGACGTTTTCTGCGTTTACCTTACCGCTAGCACAATTTATAGCCATCTCGTAAAAAATTGCATATGAATAAACACGATTTTAGCATTTTGATAATTTTATCCCCTTATTTATCAATTGAATTCGTGCATTACAGACGCATGCTGTAACAGATGAGACAGTGCAATACATTAATATAATTTACATTATTATACTTTCATTAAGAAGTTTTAAAGTTTGTTAAAGCTCTTTTTGAAAGTTTTGAATTCATACATTATTTCAATTTTTATTCTTGCACGGGCAAGTGCAGTTTTATTTACTGTAAATAAGAGTAAATATGCTTTTAAAATATTTTAGTATTGTTTTTTACATTCTATTCTATTTTTAGAAGTGAACAGTAATTACTTGGAATAAACAGAAGCTAAATATCAATAATAAAAGATGCAATCAATGGTGAACCAAAATTTTTGGTATCCTGAAGCTTGAACTGCTATGGGAACTCCTTCACAACCAGCAGCAATAAGGGCAACATCGAAAAAAAAAGTACTTCTGGACCGTTCCGGATTAGAGAATCTGAAGCTTAAGCTTTATTAGTTTCATAGTAGATCCACCACTGTATTTAATGTTAATCACAATATTTTTATTGCTTAAAAACAAGACCTATTCGTTTAATATACACAAAAAACTTATCTATCTCGCTTATTAATTAAATTTTAAATTTTTTCTTTTGTTCTCTTTCTTAAGTGTTACAGTTTGTTTCATTTATTAAATTAAAAAAACAAATCATACCTGTTTCTTTTAATATTTGAGATATAAATAATGGCGTAATGCACACTTATTCTATTCATTGTGCAAAGTTAACGCTAAACTTACAACTCAACCGTTCAATGAACGGTTTTTGAATGATTCAACAATAAATAATTGAAATGGTTAATCAAAATAAAATTTGGCTAACTTAAAATATATTGATTAATCAAGTATTATTATTTTAATAGAATGAAATATTATACTTACGAACTTCATCTTGTTCCGATTCGGAATCAGTAGGACTCTTTGATTTGGTCTCATCACGTCTTTTAACTGCTTCGACTGATATTAACTCAAAAATATTATTGGTATGACCTAAAATCTTGAAGATATAAAAATGTTAGGAAATTTCAGTAATGCAGTACATATCTGATTCAACTATCATATTTGAAAAAATACAATATTTTTATAAGTATAATCGTCACGTGCTCCATTCTTGTGTTAGGAACAAACACTAAACGGAAAACAAAATAATAATTTTTTTCATTAGAAATGTCGTGAAAGTAGAGTAGATATAAGTTCAAATGTTCGTTTTCTTTAGTTACAGGCATAGTTCTATGGATATGAAGGTATCTCATGGTGTAAGAAAAAAGGCACTTATTTAACTTTTAGATAATTTGTAAAGTAGAACACCGCCTGTAATTTAATATTTGAAACAAGCTCGAGTATAAAACAGATACTGGGATATATAAGGGCTTTGTGATAGGTTACTTTATTAGATTTCACTGTTAAACATGAACAATTATGTATGGTTGAGGAAGGGATAAAAATCCCGAAGTGCTTTCCAAGTCTATATTTTATACTAACACTCATTATTACATCCCATTACTGTACTTTTTCTTTGGCGAAGGTTAGGCCTTAACTATATATTCCCATTAAAGTGTCACGAAGTGTCTAGTTTATACATAAGCAAGTATATTTAAAATTTATAGACTGTTAAAACACTTTTTAAGCTTAACTTTTATGATACTAATAGAAAATATACAAACAATAAAAGTAGTAAAATTTTTAAACGACGTCTGTTTTAATTACTTTGATCTATTATTTAGAACAGTGAATTTCTAGAGTTAAAATTTTGTACTAACAAATTTTCTATTTTATCCTTTAAGTATGTTGTTAACATTCAACAATTTAATATTTAAATAATAAAAATATTCGCAAACATTATGAATTTCTTAATTATTTTTAATAGCAATAGCAATGCTATCAATTTAAACTAGATTTCCACTAGTTATTTTCTAGTGATATCATACAGATCTCACTAGAAAATATCTAGTGGAAATCTAGTTTAAATTAATAGCATTGCTATTGCTATTATATAATAATATAAATTGAAGAAAGGTGACTGTATAAAAGTACAACCAGTCCAGAATAGCACTTTTGCAGATTTTTGCTCTAATTTTTAATAAAATTCGTCAAAAGTTTCTCGCGATTATTCCAATATGTAATTGTTAAGTTGACAATCAATTAGAGAAAATGAATTTACTAAACAGTTATAAATATTACTTTTAATAAAGATATAAAAATAGTGATATCTTTATTAAACGTATCATTTTGTAAAATCATTAAAAGAGCAATTGAGACATTTTAAAATGAATATTAGAAGAATTTTAATAATGCAGTCTAAAGTTTTCGATCTGTCGGCGTACTGTTCGAATAGGTCTATAATTTGTCATCAATTGTTTTTCCTCAGTTATTAAATGATAAAACTGATTTTTTTAATAGTTGTCGATATGTAAATAATGCTTTATAATTTTGCATTATTTTTAAAATCACATTACTCTAAAAGCAAGATTAAAAAAACTCAGATAAATATTACTTTACTAGAGGATTTTATTCTCCTTCATAGAATAAACTTTCTTTGGCTTTTATCACGCCATGAAAGACATTGTATAAATTAATCTAACTTTACGTAACGTACGTCATCTGATGGCTATTTGGAAGCGAATCGTACTTTTCATCAAAAATGTCAAAGGTTCATCTTCTATCTTCCGGAAACATACGCTGGGAGGAGGCCAAAATAAACAGAAACAGAAAGTTTAATTATATAACAAGAAGACTTAAATAATACACAATATACTTGTATTATTATTTTTCTAGTACAGTACATAACAAAAATTAAATATAATCTGTTATATGAAAATATGATGATATAATAGTTGGTAATAATATCGATTTAGTACATTATAATATATTTTAGTTTTAACTTCCCTTTTAACTTACATTGGTAGTTAGTTCGCCACCCATTAATGGGTTGGTCACGTGGAGTTATTAATTTTCGAGAGGATAATTATCCCCTTCTACTCTTCTGACATCCATCAAAACTAAATCCCCTCAAATCATTTATTGTTTTTATGAATATGTGAGGAATCGGGAGTTAAGGCACGAGGCTTAACCCGTTCTCCGACGACGGAACAGTAAGTCCCGCTCACCGTGTCAGGGAATGGCGTTATAGGCGAGGTCGCAGTTCGAGAAGGGGTAAGGGTCCGTGAGGTCCTTGGTGTCAGCGATACACGAGTAATCAACCATTTAAACAGACTGAAAAAGTTTAATAAAAACAAAAAGGTGATTACAACTAGAAGGGAAAACACGAGCTGTAGGCCTAGTCGGTTGACAAAGAACCGAGACAGAAATAGAGCAATGAAAAATTCATTCCCTAGCGCGGCTAAACTATCTTAAAGACTACTTCGCTCGAGGGAATTTACATAAAGTCAATAAACAAAATACCTCGATAGGTAAATATCTCCGGGCAGTGAAGTGTAGCGATTGCGGTCGAGGCGGAGGACAGGAAAAAGGTCCAGTAGGGGTTGGTGGGCTTCTGTGCTCGCCCCGACGATCGGGTGCGAGCCCCTTTTATACTTTTTTAGCGTGGGAGAATTATCATGTGATTTTTGATTTAATAGTTCGGTGTTCGTTCTGTGTCCATTTCCGGCTGACACGGGACGTCGCGAATTGGAAGGTTTGGTCGGATTGTTGATACTTTCCCTCGGTGTTACGACTCTCTTTACCTCATAAATTTAGTCAATTTGATAATTTTCCATCATTAATAATCATATGTTTGGACTGTGGTTTCAAATAAATCCCAATATTCTACGGATTGTTGATGGGAACGGCTAGGTGAACGATGTTATTTATTAGTGTGTCACGAGCGTTCGAGGCGGGAGAGGAAAAAAGAAGGAAGGGATTTTCCTTCCCGTTTGACCTTTCGGTTGGTACTTAATTAACACGTTCTTGCTTTCCATAATTAACTAAAAGCAGATCAGGAGGATAGTGAAAATGAAAAACAAATGAGGGGGATCGAAATCTCACAAATAATAACACGCATAAAATGTATAAAATGTAATGAAATAAAACGGATGTTCATTGAAGTTCAACTACTCCCCTCATCCTTGTCCGACTTTGTCCGACTTGTCATTTCATGTCACCAAAAAATTTAAAAATTGTAATTCCTGGTCCTGTAACAACGCATTTATAAATTTGCAAAAACTATTTAAAATATACATATACAGTAAGACTTTGTTTAACGTTGCTTCGATTAACGATTCGATATAACGCGGTCTGCTCGAAGCCTTAAAAAATGATCAAAATTTACGCCGAGTCAAAATATCTTGGCATTTCATTGAGTCGTATATAATACGATTATTTACGAACACGAACCAATTAGAAAAGGTGGAAATTCGTCGTAGCACTGTAGTTCCCTTAAATCTATGTTTGTTTTGTGCAATTTTTAAAAAAAAATATAACATCGTGGATTCCATAGGCAATATCGGCTTCACTGGCAAGAATTAACTGATAAATGCATGAACGGAGTGTGGAAGAAGTTATGAATGAAGGTATCCAAGAATTATCAACGATAAGAGCATATCACTGTATTGTTAGGTTGACCAAATTGTCAACCTAATCGATACAATAGGACTAGATAGGAGATGTAGACGAGCAGGATATTGAGGAGTTATTGCAGGTTTTGGTGAGAACATTACCAACGACGACTTTCAAGAACTGGCAGAACAAGGAATTCGTATAGAACTGGAAAATAGTAATTCTGAAAATGAAAAACCCAAAAAATTTCTCTACAGATTTCCTTAGTATAAGTTTTTGTAACAATAACCGAAATCGTTGATCAAATTGTAGCGAATGGTCCAGATTTTGAAAGGAGTGAAAAAGCATAACCAGACGTTATGGATGCAATCTCCTGCTAACGACATTTGCTTAAGGAAAGAAAAAAGCGACAAATAACACGAATTTATCACAAAAACAAGAATTTCAGAAGAGCCAGGACCTTCGTCATAAAAAATGAACGTTACATTTCTGTGTGCATATGTTTACGTGTTATTTAACATACATTATTATGCAAATGAATATAAAAATAACTTAAAATTAAAGTAAAATCCGCTTATTTTTGGTAACGTGTTCCCCTTTCCCTAGTTACGTGTTAAAATGACCTCGTTTAACGCTATTTCGTTTAGCACTTTGTCGTCTAGGAACGCATTCCCCGCATTAAGCGGGGTCTTACTGTACTGTACATATATTTGAGAAACAGACAAGAAATTCTAATCGAAATTCGACATTTTATTCAATAGATGTAGTTAAGAAGAATAAAGAAAGATTGCTGTCCTTTAGTTGGATTTATCAAACACTCTCGACGTAACATCAATGTAAAATAACAAATTATCAATGAAACTGAGAATTACGCCATATTTCGTCATAATTGCTCAAAAATAAAGTAACAATAACTATCTCGTAGCGATATCGTCAGCGAGTTAATAATTTAATTATCTTATGATTCTAACAAATCATAAGATAATTAAATTATTATCTGAAGATTAGTTCATAGCTACAAACAGAGAAACATGTGATGTAATTATTCATTACTAACTATTAATATTATTAAGTACTGGAAAACAAACAAGATGATTTGCATCGGTTAGTGGTTATCGACTAAAATTATTTTTATTTATTTTCTTTATGTAAACCGTTTCGGATAATCGAGTTTCTACTGTATAAAGTATATTTAAATGTTTGTAAAATCTATTTTAAAAATCACTGAGAGCACTTATACTTCACTGCTCTTGTATGAACTATTACTAACAACTTTAATGTAAATTTACTGAATTTTGTTTATTATTTTTATTTATTTTCTTCCCCTTTATACATTATTTTTTTTCCTCCTCCTCCTCCCTCTTTCCTTCGAGGGGAACTAACGGCTGTTTAATCTTGTAGGTTCAATTCTGCGTGAAAATGAATCATCGATTTAAGCAAAATCAGATATCAAACAAAGTAAAGTTGATTTTTACCAATTGAACTATCAGTTCTGTAAATCGAATTGTTTTGCGTTAAGAGAATCGAAAATCAATCTTAGATATATTAGAAGTACCTCATATTTTTTTTCCTCTTCTCTCTTCTCTCTTTAGTTTCTTACAGTTCTACTTTTAGAAATNCGATGGATAATGAAAGTCAGAAAATTATAATTTTTCAATTTTAATTTAATTAAATTTCGTTCTTTCAAATCAATTTTTATTATGTTCGGTTCTTTCTTTCAAAATATAAATCTCCAAATATTTATTTGTCTGTAGCATTACACTTATTTCTAATAAAAATAAAATATTTTAATCAATAAGTTATGCATTATACATGGATAAAGATAAAATATTCATTTTAAAACTTTTATTCATATAATTCCCATCTTTAATATTAAAATAGTCAAGAAAATAAAGATATGTTTGTACTTTTTCATAAACCAAAGTACTGTACAGTATAAATATTTCATTCAAAATGATTCAAAGATTGAATCGTTTAATACATAAATATATTCATGTTTACGTATTGTTTCTAAGCCATTTTTTTAATCTAAAATCCTTTCAAATAGAGGAAAATAGTAAATCAATCATCGAGATACAGAAAGATGATAATACAAAGTGAATCAAAAGTCGCTTAACACCCTTATAAAATCGAACTGATCTAGACGGAAAATTTTCACCTGATAGAAACATGTTGGAACTAAGAAGAAAAACAATTGTTCCTAGGCATAACATGTTTGTACGATGACAAAGTTTCCCTTCTGTTAAAGTTAAGAGGCTTCCGACTCACCCTACACCGAGGACGTAGCTAGACAAGCTATTGAGGTGGTTCTAGCAAATTGTGGGATGGCCTTTCCAGGATATGGGAGTTACGGAGTGTTCCAGGGAAAGGGAGGGAGTCCGGGACCCGCCCTGGAAAATTTTTGAAATTTAATGTAACAAAATACTATTAAATAATGTACCTTCAAAACAGTACGAAAAATATTCGAAATTTAAACGTTAAAGTTATATATTTATCTAAATAATATAAATAATCAAACAGAATTTCGTCATTTAGATAGGGGACTCAACAATTTTTTACGAGTGGCTGAGCCAGCTTTGTTCTCCTCCAGTTAGGATATTACCATCACTATATAAGAATATTAACATTTTCTAGAATAATCATTAATAATATTCAAGGATGCTCGACCAAATAATCAAGAAAAATTTTTTTTACAGAAATATATGTATAAATGTAAAAATACCTGGCAGGTCTCTACAGACGCTTCGCCTTTCCTCAGTCTATCAGCAACTTGTTTTGGTATCATCTGGTATAATAATTCATCCGTCCTTTTCATCTCAATATCTAATTTTTTCATTGATTCCTCTAATTGTTTACTTTTCTGTAATTCCTTTAGATAAAAATGTTTATATTTAATGGTAATATTATGAAATTCAATGAAAATTAAATAGTTTTTCGCTAATGTAATCATATTGTCATACGAATGTATACAATAAAGCGTACATGAAAAATTTTATAATTTTTTATCATTATACTTTAGAAAATTACAAATTTAATTGGACTATCGAACGATGTTATCATAGGCCTACTTCTGGATTTTTTTTCCCAAGAGTAAGCCTACTAACGTAATGTTTTCTAAAATATTGTCCTAGTGCAGGGATGAGCAACCTTTTTAAGTGTGTCCGTGCCAAAATTGCCAAGTATATGATGCAAAATTTTTCACGTGCAAACCGAAAATTTTGAAAGCACATTATTTTTTTGGTGATGCCTTATTACCTATTATTACTAAAACAGTTAATAGTGTTTGCTTCTTTATTGCATTTTCATTTATTATCTCTCTACTCAACAAAACTGTATTCTATTAAATTGAAATAAACAATTCAGCGATGTTAGATATTTATTTTTTTAAATGAGCCCTGGGTTGCGTGTTCGAAAAAAGTTGTTGGCGTGCCACATTTGGCACGCATGTCAATAGTTTTCCACCTCTTATTTAGTGCATCTATTATTGATGTTATGCGAACAATTTGAAAGATTGCCAGTTTTCACTCTTTTTCATCTGTCTGATTGCTTCCAGCTCCTTCTAATGAATCTGCTGTTCTCTTCTCTTACATTCGTCAACTTGTTCGTTTTTTTTTCATATTCGATACTTTCCAGTCTTTTTGTACATCCCCTATCTCCCCTGATAAATTTTATTATCTAATTTGATTATTTAAAATATATAATATAATTTTTAATATCGTTTTGTATTTTTTTAAAATAAATTTCGGACTTGAAAATGATAAATGAGCCGGGCTTATTTCCATCTATACAAATAAAACTCACAAAATTTTGCCGATTGTGCTAATTGCAAAGTATTATTCACTTGATGCAAAGCTTCTCAGAGACTGAGAGATCCCGGATCATTTATCTTCCTGAAGTCCCAATTTATTAAAAGTACAAAACAATGTTTAAAATTATGTATTTTAAATAATAAAAGTTGACAAAAATATATTTTTTTCTTAATATATAAGGATTGCAATGGAAGAATAATTTGTAATAATTGTTTTTCAAGCTCCTACAAATGACTTGATTCATCTTTTTTTAACTCTCCGTCCTGTGAACACCAAGAGGGCCTTTTTAACTAGTCAGTTCTGGGTTCAACCATGTTTATAATTGGGCGATCCGTCCGACATATCCGGACGGATTACTCTGAAAAATTCATGGGAGCTTTCAACCCGTCCGGATTGATTCTGGATCTTCCAGAGCGGTAGGCTGCCATCCTGCTATTGCTCGGCCATTCGGCCGTCTGACCTGATGCATTGAAAATACGACAATGCGTTGCATATAATAAAGTTATGGCCATCATTTTCCAATATTTTATTGGGTTAATGTATTAAACTGAAGTAATCTTAAAATTGCAAACACTCGATTTATCTCAATATAGAGTAAACCCACTAAGTGGAGTTACCAACTTTCTTCTGAAAATAGTAGGACATTACATGGGCATTATACAGCGAATGCATTTATAACAAAGTAGTTTGTTATAAATATTTTTTGAATAACTGTAAATTATAAATAAATAAACAGATAATAAATAGGGTTTTAAACTCAGTGTTAGAATTATTACGAACTGTTGAGCAAAGCAATTCTAATTGATTAATAGTATTGTCTTTCTGAAACTAACTTAAAGTATTAGAACGTGTAATACAGTATTTCAGAAATAATAAAATAATACAGTATTTCAGAAATAATAGTAATACAGTATTTCAGAAATAATAAAATAAAATAAAATTAAAACAGACAATTAAAATATTACTAAAAAGGAGGACATTATCGATAAAAGAAGGACGGGAAAACAAACAGTTCAATGGAGGACGGTTGGCAACCTACCAAATAAGGCTTAAATGCTTATTAAGAATACAGTATCAAGAATCAAAAGTTTACCAACATACATTTACACTCTGAAAGAAAAAACGAATTCTAAGTAGTTAATTTTTTCCTTGGTTCTTTATCATAAGAATTCAAAAACTAAACATTCTAAATTTGTAAAGAACTTCAGCGCTTCTATAATCTGTAAAACGTAAACGTAAGCTAAAGCAGAAGGCTGATATTGAATTTAGATATAAAGGGCTAAACAGCATGGGCGCATTGTCTGATAAAACGGTTTTAATATAGCTAGATAACAAACCAATTTCAAATGAAACGGGCTATTTTATTGGTTTGTTATACAGTTGTGTTAAAGCTGCTTTATACGCAATATCTATGTTTGTTTACTGACAGTGCCATTTAACATTTACAGCAGATGCAAACAAAATTACTGTTGCTTTGAAAATTTTTATATTTAAATGATTTAAAACAAAATATTAAGAAAAAAATAATAAAAATGATTAATCCATCAAATCAAAATTAATTATTTAAGTTTAAAATACAGTCAAACTTTTGAACAACGGCCACTTACTGGAAGGTAAAAAATAGTTGTTCGGAGGTGGCCGTTGTTTGAAGATTAGCTTGTATGCATTTGAAAAAGAAACGTTCCCGAAAAAAATGGCAGCAGTTTAGAGGTGGCCGTTATTGCAAGTTCGAGTGTATTTATATTTTTGAGTGGAAGAAGGCAATATATTCAAATATTGTCTTCTAGTGATTCATTTAAATTTGCATTGTGTAAAGAATATTTTAAATTAAAACCGGAAGAGCCAAAGTTCTCACTGATGCTCTTTATTTCTCGTGTTAACTTTTACGTTAGTGTATTTTTAAGGATCAAATATATTAGATTTTAGCGTTTAAATTTAGTTATTTTTTAAGCGTTATTTTAAATAAATATTTTAAAATTATTTTTTAAAATTTTTAAATAATTTAGTTATTTTTTAACATTTAAATTATATTTATTTATAGCGCCAACGTATTTATATTTTAAAATTACAAATTTAGAAAATTTCGATCTCCGAAAAAATAAAGTTTATATTTAAATTAATAGTTGATAATTTATTATAATTATATTAAAAAAGTTCGAAGAGAATTTTATAAATTTATATCAAGGGATGTTTTATATGAATGCGCAGAGTTTTAATTCATCCTCGATAATGAAACAATAGACAAATCTACGCTTAACATTTTTTTAAGAATAATAAATTACTGTATATATAAATAATTTACATAAATAAATACGTTCGCGCTTTATAAAATTAAATATGTAAGTTTATCAAAATTATATTTTATTAAAATATATTTTTATACTCTTAGCTTGACTTTCTTCGAGCATTGTTCGAAAACATTTAAGGTTTCAGTCTCATCTGTAGCATTCTTTATCCGGATAAATCCATGTATCTGTATTGAGTTATTTTTGAAAAATAAAACGAATTTTTAAAATAAGAAAACGTTTCATTCTTTGATTATATTTGCTATTTTAGGGCGCGTTTAAATGGAAAGCAGCGAACGAGCCAATGATGTGGTCCGTTTATTAAACAGACAGTATACTGTAATTGGTTCGTTCGACTAGACGCTTCATCGGTATCCAATATTCATATGGCGCCATCTTTTNACATATATTTGAGAAACAGACAAGAAATTCTAATCGAAATTCGACATTTTATTCAATAGATGTAGTTAAGAAGAATAAAGAAAGATTGCTGTCCTTTAGTTGGATTTATCAAACACTCTCGACGTAACATCAATGTAAAATAACAAATTATCAATGAAACTGAGAATTACGCCATATTTCGTCATAATTGCTCAAAAATAAAGTAACAATAACTATCTCGTAGCGATATCGTCAGCGAGTTAATAATTTAATTATCTTATGATTCTAACAAATCATAAGATAATTAAATTATTATCTGAAGATTAGTTCATAGCTACAAATAGAGAAACATGTGATGTAATTATTCATTACTAACTATTAATATTATTAAGTACTGGAAAACAAACAAGATGATTTGCATCGGTTAGTGGTTATCGACTAAAATTATTTTTATTTATTTTCTTTATGTAATAATTATAATTATGTATATTTCATTCTGGATGACCAATAAATTGCTTTTTCAAAATTAAGACATTTTGATATTTGGTAATAGCAATTGTAATTTCTTAAATTTAACCTAACTTGATATTGAGGCAAAATGACCGAAGTACAGTAGTAGAGCGTCATCTATCATTCTGAATAAATGGGGTTTGAGTCTAATTCAGATCTTAACGAGTGAATTCTGTCTGTCGGGCCCTGCTTTTCACCTTATGGCGCTTCCATTGTTTACTTACAAAGGAGTTATTAACCTATATCCACTACCGTTTTTGAAGAATTTTGGCATAAAGTTAGTGTTTAATACGTTAATGCAATCCCCAAACCGTTTCATTCTTTGGGCCATAACGGGCGAGTTATCGAGATTTAAAAATTAAGTTATCCATTACGTAGTCTGCTGACATTACCTAGTTTGTAGAGGCTCCGCCCTATCACGGACAACTTCATTGGCATTTAACTATGTTACGATTGTAAATTATTTTATTCTTTAGAATGATGAATATATATAAATAAACGCGTGTCTGATACGTTTCCTCCTCGAGAGTTTAAGAGCAGAAGTCGTTTTCAGATTCGAAAAATAAGGAAATCGGATATGAGAGTGCGTTTTTTCGGAGAGTGGAGATTAGTTGGGGAACAAAAGGAAAACAAAAAAGAAAAAAGAAAAAAGTAAGCGATGAGAGGAAATTTTTGCTATTAAAGTTAAGTCAGTATGTAAACTCGAGTAGAGTCTGATCTAACATTGCCCATCCAGAACGAATCAATCCTTTTGAAGTTTTGCAAGAATTGTTTGCAATTATCAGGATGCGTTATGGATCATTTTATGAAATGGTAAATATTACGTAGTCGTCAGCTAATTCTTCTATGTTTAAGCATAAAAATACCACTTTGCTATTTTATATCAGATAGAATCAGCTTCCGAAGTAGACCGTCTGTCTGAAATTCAATTCTTTGAGACTTTTGAAACTATGATGGACGATTTTATGTCCCAAATAGACTTCCAACTGAAAATACTTCGTATGTGTTATCGTTGCACAACATTATTAATGTAGATTAGTTATGCTAACATAAATAAACGCAAAGCTGTGTCTAATTTATTAATTAACTTCTTTCTTCGGTAGACAACCTAAATAATTTAGCCGATATAGAAGAAAATCACCCCACCCCAATGACGATTAAATGTTAATCACCAGGAATGAAGTTGCAAACTACTATGCTGTAGGATCGCAGAGTATCCATCGGGCTGAAAGCAAAATAGCATCCTAACTGGAATTGGCAAACTCTGAAAAGTCAGAGATGTCCGGCGGTACCAGACAAGAGAACACTGCACCGCTGTAAAAATCAGATGCGCACATTTCAAATGAATAGCACCAAAAAATATATAATCAAATTAATAGCCATGTCATACAGAAGGTCATAGCAACAAGTTCAGGATTCAAAATATTGCGCACATCTCATCTGAAATCTTTTTCCACGCAAAAGTATGTAGAAATGGACAATTTAACTTAAACTTCAAGGCTAGCGATACATGGTTGCATCGTTTTAATAGTCTCTAATTGGTAGTCGAAAAATAACACGTATTGTTAGCAAAACATAGCTGCAATCAGCAGAGAATATCATGCGAGCAGCAAACGCCTTTAAGATGACATAAAATCTACATCAGAGAATTTTGACGACGACCGCATATTCAATACCGACCAATGTGGTTTCCAATACGAAATATTGCCTACAAGGATTTACATCTTCAAGGTAAAAAATTAGTTTTCGGGTAAACTTAATCATCAAAAATTCCGATAATACACAGTTACACTGTACAGTATGTTATTAACAGGACTGTTATCATTGAAAACGTTTTCTTATGCTTACAAGAACTTGAGTGAACTTCAGGCAAAAGTGTAAGCAGGATTGATAACGAATTCATAATTTTTTGAAGAATATAAATTATACGAATTTTTAATAAGCGATTTATTATAAAATATTGTATAATAAAATCGCAACCGATATTTTGTTTTTATATCGACAGTATTCGTCTTTAAATGTCATTGTTGAAAAAGCAATAATGCTAAATGGGCGTTCGTGGTATCGATGTTTACATAAACGTTATTTAATACGATATAAAAACGAATAAAATTCAGTATTTCAAAATAGCTTATTTTATATCAGAAACATCTGCTGATGAAAGAATAGAGGATAAAGATTCTATAGCATGTATAATCTGTTTAGTAAAAACCCAGAATTTTCAGTACTCGGTTATATCGCGCTTTTTCTTTGTCTCTCGACAAGCGCGATATAACGAGGGTCTACTTTATTAATATAACCGTTTATGAGCAATTATTTATGATATCGTCACAATGCCGGGCTGCAGTTTTTAATCATAATCTTAATTTATTTAAAATATAAGTTCTCCATCTCAAATTAGTAGTGTCTTGCCCCTGTATATCGTACTTTAGCTGATAACAACAGTCATGCCGGTCATCTATTTAACCTCATTCAGGGGAACTTTTAGAATTGAATTCACGTTACTTCCAATCTAAACCGGAAGTTCGTATATAGTGCTTTTTAAAGTTTTCAATATAGTTTTATTATATATAATATATAGTTTTTTCTGTGCATTGAAAGACTGTTGTTCTTGGTGATTGGACATGGCGAAAGTGAAGACTTTTAATCTTTCTACGTACTTACGTACTTTTTATTAATTCATACATAGTTAATCGGGGCTTTCTACCCCCTAAGCTTTCCATAATTGGTCTTGACTTTCATCTATATAATACCGTTCTCCTCGAGATTAAGAAAGGACAGACAGACAAACAGACGACAGTGGAAATTTATAGGTCTATAATTTTTTCAAATTGCAGCCCAATAAGTTTCAGTAAAATATTGACGTTTTTTTAATGATATTGATATAATTAATAATATAATGTAACTAGTGTGAAAAATATTCGTAGTACTTAAAAATTTAGCACTGTAGATATTAAACCACTCTACAATATCACGGCGTGGATAACAAACACACCATCGTCCTTCTCTTGCTTCTCCTCTCATCTCAAGCAGATCGGCGTCCATGTGTCCAAACTACTGTATTACTCGTCTATCATGAGCAGTTCCATATTCAATTAGTCATAACTCGCTCATTACGATCCGTGAAATGAAATGGTTTGAAGACTGCATTATTACATCAAACACTATCTTTGTGGCAAAACTGATTAAAATCGGTTTAGTACTCCTTGATAACCAAACCCGTGAATAGCTTACGGAGATGTCCCTTTAAAACAGAAAGAGTTTTCAGAAAGAGTTTTTTTTTAATCCAACCTTTTATTAGACACAGAATGATTTTTTAAAATAGATATTTAAAAAAATGCATCACAGAATGCGGAATACGGTATATTTAATTTTCAATTTAATTAGTAGGAATCATCTACATGACAGGCGATAAAGTTAAAATTTATAAGTGGATTCAGAAATTTCATCATTTTTTGTGAAGTTAGAGAGAGATCTGGGAGTTGTCTGGTTAAATCTCGTTGGGTCTCATTGACTAGTATTGATCTCTACATTAGTAAAACACATTTTAGATGTGTAAAGAACTGTCTTCCCAATGTACTTGTACTGTTAAATATATATATAATAACTGTTAAATACTGTTTCACATTCTGGTCGCTGACATTGATATACACTATACTATATTATTGTTATATAATAAACAGTTCTTTAGCCTCAACTTAAATTTTAGGATGTGGCCAACCTGGCAACACTTACCGTGCCCTCAGTTTTTAGTCTTTGTCTCCCAAACAGCCAGTCTGAACACGTGCATGGTACTGCTGACACTCTGTATTTGCGCGCTTAATAAATTTGTTTTACCAGTTAAAATCTGCAATTATTTGATCAAGACCCCAAAAGGATAACGAATTTGTTATGTTTGTAAAAATAATAAATATTAAAAGAAGCTATTGTTTTAAAAGTCGCTACAAAACATGTTTCATTCGCTTATCTATCGTTTTGCTTGCAGCTTAACATTAACATTATTATCGGTACCATTAAGAAATGTTTCAATCTCATTATGATATAAATAACAAAATATCTTATTATTTAACATTTAATAGATAAATCAATGCCGAAAATCTGTTACTCCTGAATGACTGAAACAAGAATTTTAAGAAAACTTTCAGAGTTGTAAAGAGGAGGCCCACTACATCCGACGTACTAAAAACTCATAAAGTAAATGTCTTTCCATTCCAGTTTATTTTATTTTATAATTTGTGAGAAATTTGTTACATTTCGAACGGTATAGATAATACTAAAAATATATATACAAGGTATATTTAAAACATGTATTTGAATTAAATACTAATTACTTGTGAAACATTACAAAAAGAAAATAACTAGTTAAATAATATATAATAAGTTGTATAAACATAACATGAATTGAAACAGCAGACGTAAATATAACTATTTTATATCAGAAACATCTGCTGATGAAAGAATAGAGGATAAAGATTCTATAGCATGTATAATCTGTTTAGTAAAAACCCAGAATTTTCAGTACTCGGTTATATCGCGCTTTTTCTTTGTCTCTCGACAAGCGCGATATAACGAGGGTCTACTTTATTAATATAACCGTTTATGAGCAATTATTTATGATATCGTCACAATGCCGGGCTGCAGTTTTTAATCATAATCTTAATTTATTTAAAATATAAGTTCTCCATCTCAAATTAGTAGTGTCTTGCCCCTGTATATCGTACTTTAGCTGATAACAACAGTCATGCCGGTCATCTATTTAACCTCATTCAGGGGAACTTTTAGAATTGAATTCACGTTACTTCCAATCTAAACCGGAAGTTCGTATATAGTGCTTTTTAAAGTTTTCAATATAGTTTTATTATATATAATATATAGTTTTTTCTGTGCATTGAAAGACTGTTGTTCTTGGTGATTGGACATGGCGAAAGTGAAGACTTTTAATCTTTCTACGTACTTACGTACTTTTTATTAATTCATACATAGTTAATCGGGGCTTTCTACCCCCTAAGCTTTCCATAATTGGTCTTGACTTTCATCTATATAATACCGTTCTCCTCGAGATTAAGAAAGGACAGACAGACAAACAGACGACAGTGGAAATTTATAGGTCTATAATTTTTTCAAATTGCAGCCCAATAAGTTTCAGTAAAATATTGACGTTTTTTTAATGATATTGATATAATTAATAATATAATGTAACTAGTGTGAAAAATATTCGTAGTACTTAAAAATTTAGCACTGTAGATATTAAACCACTCTACAATATCACGGCGTGGATAACAAACACACCATCGTCCTTCTCTTGCTTCTCCTCTCATCTCAAGCAGATCGGCGTCCATGTGTCCAAACTACTGTATTACTCGTCTATCATGAGCAGTTCCATATTCAATTAGTCATAACTCGCTCATTACGATCCGTGAAATGAAATGGTTTGAAGACTGCATTATTACATCAAACACTATCTTTGTGGCAAAACTGATTAAAATCGGTTTAGTACTCCTTGATAACCAANTTTACTTTAATTTGTAAATAAAAAATAAATAAAAATTTTTTTAATTATTTATATTAATGTTATATGCTTAATTTTGTTAAAAACGCACTTTTAATTCACTATATATTTATTTCTTTTTAAATTTGTGTTTAAACTTCTAAAATATTTTAATGAAAATGTTTAGAAATTTAAACTATAAATTTTAAAGGAAATAAATAATTTATATAGTTTCTAATTTTTAAGAATAAACTTTTGAAATAAAAATATAAACCAGAAATAATCATACGAGTTTAAACAAGAATATGGTAAAAACTGAAAAAATTAAGTTTGATTAGAACATTAAAATTATAGAAACAAATCGTTTCTTAAAATATGCAAACTTCACATGAGTAGTTTACGTTTATTTCAATGCTTTTTATGCATACACACATGTATATAAATACAGTAATATACATACATTTATAAATTTATTTGTTTTTACATGCTTTATTACTTAAAAATAAAGCTGTAATATTTTAAATAATGTTTTATGGTATTCTGAGTGTCTTTTATTTAGTTTTAGTCTAAAAGTTATTACATATGCATGTCGTCTGCTATCTTAGCCAACTGGTGTGCCCTTAGTGAGCAATGTAAGAACTGCAGTAAAATTGACTTACTTTTTAGGAGTCGAACAACCTTATTTTTTATAACCCTGTTCGTGGAAATTCCGTTACTAGTTGAACGTATTCGTAACAAGTCAAAATGTATTTCAACTGTAATTTGATAGTCTCACGAAATATATAGCCTACACTTTACTGAATATAGGCTATATTTATTTCGAACAAGATTCTATCCTGAATTTTTGTTATGAATTCAGTGTTCCTACTGATTACATTTTTGTTTTTACAGTTGACGCTTGTCATATTATAGCACGTAAGAAGCAACTTTTATACTGTAAAATAAGGTTCGAAAATTGCTCTGCGTCTTATATTCTTACTAAATTCTTACTATTGTTATTGTAAAGTTCTAAACTCTTATAGGCTAATGAATTCCTCAAACTCATTTTCATTCGAATTGGGCTAGGTAGAAGCCGCAGTGTAACCTCCTTCTAGCTCAACTCTTGAATAAAAACGTTATTGTTTAATTAAACATATTATTATTACCATTAATTTTACTTATTTAAAATAGACTTATTATAAATTACGTTACCTAACTAGTTTGTAAATATTAGTTAGGTAACTTAAGACGATTATCAATCGATCGTTTGTCATGCGCATCCAACTCTTTAAAGTTAAGCTGTAACCTTTCTCAACACTTAATATACATACGTTACTATCTTTGTCACATCTTGCCATGGTTATCTGATTGTGCGGGATAGCTTAAATACACTAAATACTGCATTCGTTAATATCCTTTGTTGAATGGAGGTGCGTCTAATATGCCGTGAAATACGGAAATTGTTTTAAAACTAAATTTATATCAACTCATTGAAATAATCATCATTATCTTTTAAAATTAGGAATAGTAACTCAAAAATATAAATTATGCTATGTGAAATGCAATACAATATAACACCATAAATTTAGAAAGCATTCATTTTGTAAAAACGTACGTGAAAAAGAAAGCCTATCCTTCTGGAGTATTTGGAATAAAATTCAGGCAAAAAACTTCAAAAATTTTTCATGAGCGGCCTGTACGGATATGCGGGGTCTCATTTCTCACTATGCGGCCGCTCTCTTATGAGCCTGGCTAAAAAACAATGGGCATGGAGAAAATACCCTCTTTGGCCTTCCAGTGGCAGAATGAATAAAACCACTGGACACTGATCATGGGTTCGCGCCGCTCCAACGGGCTAGTCAAGTGGAGTTTTCAGGATTTTCTTCACGTTAGTAGTAAATTACCACCTAAATACGGGCCAGTTTCTCATAAAAAAATCCTTCCGGGAATCATCCCCCTCGGCAGATCGCACGTGTCACATTGCCTTAAACGAATAAAATCAAATTGAATCAAACAAACCAAAAAGATCCATTGGTGGTCAAAGGGTAGAAAGAGTTTTTTTTAAAGTATGTTTTTATAATGCTAATTCTTTATCTTTTTCCTTCTTTAATAATTTGTAAAAATTTTTCACAAAAAAGCTCAGAAATAGATTATTTAAGATTTAAAATATAAAGTTAAATATTACGATTAAGTGTTTGTGAATTATTAATAAATGTAACATTAAACATACATTTTATGTATACAAGGTTTAGATAAAAACAGAAAATAGTTTAATTGAGCTACAATTTGAAAAACTTTTGTATTTCCCATCGTTGTCCGTTTGTTTGTCTTTCCTTAATCCCGAGAATGGAGTTAGACAGATGAAATTTGAAATCAGATATGGAAACCTTAGGGAACGGAGGCCTTGATTACTTATATATAAACTTCCAGTCTAGATCAAAAGTCACGTGAGTTCAATTCAAAAATTTTCCCCCGAAAGGTGTTAAATAGATGACCGGCACGACTCTATTTTTAAAGAAAAAGTATGATGTACAGGGACAAGCCTCTACTAATTTGAGGTGGAGAATATATATTTTAAGTTAAATAAATTAAAAATATGATTAAAAATTGCAACCCGGCAATGATCGCAATAAATAATTGCTCGTTATATGCTAAATATTATGTGCTGAATGAATATTATAATCAATGTATAAACGAATCGAATCATTTTAGTAATGTTCGAAAAATAAAATAACGGCACAATTTTCATATAAATTAAAAATATTGGAGGAATAAAGAATACATATATTTATTTATAGAAAGTATATTCAAAGTGCAAATAATATATTTTGTATACAACGCATAAAAGTTCAAATCAAAAATTTGTTTTTTTACAAAAAAAAAAGTTCAGAAAATGTTTGGTTTGATGTGATACAGCAACGCAACTCAAAATCTATCTACCAAAGGGAATACTTCCTGATAGGACTTTATACAAAAAACCGGTTTCTATTTGGGTGTTAGAAACGTAAATAAAACCTGGAAAACTTCGTATGCTAGCCCGTTGGTGAGGCGTCAACTCCCAACAACAATCAGCATTCAGCAGTTTTATCCACTCGACCCTTGATGGGCGTTCAGAAAATGAACAATAGTTTCAATTTATAATTTTCATCTTAAAATTAAGACTATCTTAATTTGAGAAATTTTTAATGTTACTTCCCCCGCTGATATAAAATAAACATAAAGAAAGGATGATAATTTGTCAAATTTTGACCTTTCAGTTTTTTCGCATTTCTCGAATGTGATCGTGTGTCGGCTTCTTTTTTTTGCATTTACAATTTTTTTCAAAACTCATTCCTACCCCAAAAGACAAGCCTTTTGTCTCTTTATAATTATGTCTATCTTTATATATGTGTGGCGATGTCTCTTTATATTATAAAGAGATATCGCCACACATAACTTTAACTTTGTAAAGTATGAGTGCCGGGAAATTCGTTCAAGAGCTCTTGTTTCAATTTTGCAATTGACTGAATATGATCAGGTATAGTACGAAATGAATAATTTCACTATATTAAAACGCATTCATATTGGGCGAGTCTAAATAAAACCATCACAAATTGTGTTTTAAATTTTAAGCTTAGTTTTAAATTTATTTATTAAATATACTCACCGCCGTCCACGTGCATTCTATAAGAGGTCTAGTTAAATCGAATACTTCTGGTATTTTCCTTCCAACGGTATCTGGCATGACAGCTTGTAAGCTATTTCCAATTGTCCTAATAATCAAATATTGATCGAAAACTACACAGAAAGGAAAAATCTCTAGAAATAACCCAGCTTTAACAGGTAGCATAAATCTTTCCACTCTTTGCACATTCTGTCTTAAATCAGTCTGAAACGCTCTATTATCGAAATTGAGTTGCATGGTGACATGCAACATGTCAAAGATTGTTTCTTCTTTTATCACTTCCACTCCAACTTCCGTATTATAGAAATGCCGACCTACTTCTTTAATCTGACCTATGGTATACCATAAGAAACCTCTTCTAGTGCTCCTGTAATGAAGAGTTAACCCCGTGGTGCTTTCGTTTTCGCAAAAGAAAGACGGCGGCTTCATTCTTGGATAACTGAACTTTAAATACTCATGTAAGTTATCTAAACCATTCAGAAAATCTCTCATGTGACGTCCGAGCACCGATAGAACTCGATCATAACCATATTGACCCACGAAGGATACGAAAAATACTCCCATTGCTTCTAAGAATTCTCGTTCTGAAACGCCAAGAACCTGAAATGAGAGGGGTAAACTATTATTATAGACGTAAAAAACAGTGTTTATATTTGTTTACACAAAATAATACAATTTAATTCACGTAAAATTAGACATAAAAATATTTCTATGGCTTTACATTTTTATTGAATTAAAAGTTAACAAAACTTAATAAATCAATATCAAATAACCTATATTGAAATCTTGAAAACATATTAATTTAAAGCGTAACGATTTAAATTATTTAAATATTTTAAAATAATTTTATCTACTGTTAATTGTGGAGTAAAAATGCTGCTTTCGTAGCTTTAAGAAACTTGTTAATTAACATGTATATTAAAAAATTGTACAAATATTTATAAATTATCGAAAAAATTTAAAATTTAAATTATATAAACAAAGATTTCAATTGATATTAAATTTTTATAAAATCATTTGCATAATTAATATAAAATATATGAATTATAGAAAGAATTCGACTAGATCTTCATATAATATAAGTGTATTTACTATTATCTTTTTCATTTTGTTTCGTTTATGGACTTAGATAGACGGAGACGATTATATTAAAAAGGCGAACCGAAAACTAGGCCACTTTATCCTTCTAACTAAGCAGTATTACTAATAGAAAAGTTCCGAGTTGAATGTTGCAGAGAATACTGAGGGCGTTTCTATGGTAACGGGGGACAACGTGACACTTTCTAAGGAGGGTGAAAGTGGTAATTTATTGCTTAACTCTTCTCGACAAGAAAAAACATAAGATCTTGTATACACTTTGTTTAATAATTTCGAATTTAAATATTCTTCAGGAAATTAGACATTAGAATATCACATATTCAATCTGCAGTGTCATTTCTCTCAAATAAGTATCATTAAGTAGATGATCATTCTAAATATTTTTTACACGCTTATTCATATTTAGGAACTTTATATTATTTGATAATATAGTAAAACGTTAAGCCTGTGTGTAATAATTGTTTATATACAGGCACGAAGTATGAATATTATTTATAAGATAAACACTTTACCAACTTCGTCTTTCACATCTGAAGTTAATGTATTTACCGTATTAGGAAGTTTCTAACTAGTGTTATAAAATAATATAAGAAATAATTTATTATAAACTGTATTACATTACGATAAGTTAAATAAGTTAAATAATTGAAAATATTCTTTGTTATAGGCCTATTCATTACAATAATTTACAACTAAATGTAAAAATTGAAATATATGCATTGAGTTTACGTTTAATATTAAATATTAAACTTAGTTCTTACGTTTAATACTTTAAATTTAGCTTAATAGTTAATTCTTCGAGGTTTGTAAATTGTTAATATTTAGGATTGTCAGTGATCCATTCGTTATAATGTTTATATATGAAAATTTTCAACTAGTAGAACGCGATCTCCACGTTAGTTTGGAGCAAAATCTCATAATATCATACGACTTCAATAGTAATACAATACTTATTCAGTGCGTTAATTAAAAAGTGATTATGTGATTATTTCTTTAAAATAGTTTAGAGCTATCCATTAATTACGTGTACAGTTTTGGAGTCATTTTTGATCCCCTCCCCCTGTTGTGTACTATGATATACTGTATACTTTTCGCGACTTGTACGCTACATATAATTAATGAAGTCCCTTTTTATATGTTAAATTTGCTACAAAAAGACAAAAATTTAAATAATTTCCAGTTTTATAATTTGAATAAAGGACTATGTATCATTTCACTATTGCGTTTTTCTTAAATTTTAAATAACAGAAAGTAAAGTTTGGATTTATCGCCACTTAACGTCACAACTGGAATACAAATTCATAAGATTGTAGTCTCGAAATTTCGAACAGTGTTTATCATCCAATCTATTCTTGTAGACGACATAATAGAATTGAAATATGGCCGCTCGGTCGGTGCAAGCGGCCATTAAATTAAGTCTGGCTTAAATAAATGTCCAACTAGACACTTGTTGCTAGGATACAAACTCTTTGACAATGTTAGATCGTTAAATTAATACAAAAAAAACGAAAGGAAGTAGTAAAGAAAAAAAGAATATTATTTGATACGTAGTTTTGTGATGGATTATGAGAAAAATTGGCACGCGTGACATCTGGTTAAGTAATACGATGGCGATCGAATTTTCGGTAAGTCGACAAGTTCGTCAGAGACCTTGAATTTATTATCCCGCATTTCCTTTCTGGAATAGAATTTAATTTTATCTAAATCAAAATGCAAATCAAGACATACGACTTCCTTCGTTTTCTTGTATTATCAATTGCAGATTTAAGTTAAATCTTACACGTTTTTCAGGATATTTACTTCTACATTATCTGAAAATAAAATAAAATAAAATCCTGCCTCTAGAGTAATAGTACATTGAAACCGGTGTTCGAATTCGTTCGAAGTTTCTAATTTCCGACTTACATAGCTCTATCTTACTACTTTAGATCGTTAAAACAACTTGTGCGAGTTACTAACACGTTGAAACGATACAAAGTGGTTTACAACATCATACATGAAAATACGCCAACACAAAAGTGTATTAAGTTTTATATATTTTTGTATATTAAATTAAGAATAAAACAATTTTAAATCGTAAGGTCGTGTTAGAAAAAAGAAAGATTAAAGCTACGAAAAAAAAATAGAAAATAATAAAATATTATACTTTTTTAAATACGCAATTATTATAATCTGATAATTTATAACATCATTTCTTTATCTAATATTTATTATATACGAATTTATTATTTTTATTAATTATTGTTAACTAACAAATTCAGAATAAATTATTGCGCGATTCCAATATTTATTAAGCTATTTTATGTTGCATCATTTTTGTTCTATCTACTAAATTTATTCAATCATATACTTAATTATAAATATAATTATATTATATTCATTAATATTCCGTAATGATTTTTAATTTCTATCTATAGATTTATATTTTAAAATGCAAGAATATTCATCTAATCTCTTATTCTTCCTTTCCTCACAATAAGAGAAAGTTATACATATGCCCAATTCTTGTTCTAAACACATAAAAATGTGAGGCCTTAAACTTAGACTCATAACGGGAAGCCCCTAAGCTCCAGCTTGTTTAGCTTACGTGCAAATCCAGACCTGACGATATTGTATCCACTGAAACTAAGTAAAACGAAGCTAACATAGAATTTGATTTAAATTTATAATTAGTTATTAAGAGTGAGAAAAATCATCGTCGTTTTATTGTGATTCTAGTCAAATATGAATATTTCACAGAAAGTTTTTGCATCAGGCATATAAGTCTATAGAGTTATCATCTACTTACTCGTTGAAGCGGACGTATAATATAATATATTATAGTAGTATAATAAAAAAATATTCTTTAAATTTCTAGAATAAATTAATAATTCGTTATAATCAGGACCAATTCTTTTATCTTAATTTTTTTTTCAATTAAAAAATATATCCAATAATACCCGAGAGATATATCTAATGAATTTTAGAAATAATGTAACTGATAATAATCGAATGGGCTATTAAAAATATGAAACTCAAGTAATTTTCTTAAAATTATAATCAGTTTATTAAGTGCTGATACTGAGAAAACTTTTAATATCGATCCTTTAAACTTTACAAAAGACTTCAGCNTACCAAATTTGTGTGAAATTTGACATTATCGTGGTAAAACACTACACCTGTTTTGTTGGTCAATTCTGGCTGTCTTTTCTGTTTGTTTACTCGATTTGGGGTACACTTTCGAATCAATTGTTAAATTGTCTGGTAAAAGCTTCTAAAAAAATTTTCTTACAATCCTACCAAAAAGAGCATCTCCCCTTAAGAACATGTGGAACCCATAGATTGAGCTTTGAAACTAAACCAATTTGTTTCAAGTAATCATAAGCAGTTCAATTTGACAAATTCAATCTCTTAGTGATTTCACGTGTTGTTATTCGGCAGTTTGCTTCAATCAGTACCTTTATTTTGTTTTCATTGGCTTCAACTGGCCATCCAGAACGTGGTGCATCTTCAATATTGAAATTCTGAGAACGAAATTTTGTAAACCAGTTTTGGCACTGTCTTTCTCTCAACACATTTCCATACATGTAGCACAATTTTTTTCTTGCTTGAAGAGCATTTTGATTTTTTGGTAATAAAAAAGCAAAATATGCCGAAAATGCTGCTTTCGATCTTCCATATTTGATGGGACACAAAAAATAAATAATTGCACAAATTTACATAAAATTTTTTACAAATAAGCCTTAAAATGCTAGCTGTCAAAATATATGATGTTAAAGTTTAGAATGAAAATGGCGGGAAAAATACGAATAATACGTCTAGTGGTTAAAAAATCGAACTTACTTTACGAACAACCTAATATTATTCTATTTTGTGAAAACAAGAATGTTTTATATGTATTGCATATTATGGATGTTAGTTAAACATACATATTAGTAAGATATATTACTTTAAAATATCGTAAATAAAATAAATATCTGACAAAAATAAACTGTAGTTTATTTTTTGAGTTCATTTATTATTTATAACGGTATCAACGTGCTCTAACTAAAATAAAATGATAACTGTCATTAAAAAAATATGTTACTTACCCTACAAGCTTTGGATGTTAAGCGTGGTATGTAATTATCCGGATATACTTGATGAGTACTGAACGTCGGAGGGTCAATTTTAGCAAGTTTCCGAATTTCCACCCATTTGTCGTCTCCGTAAATAGAACTTATATACTGACTTAAATTCTCTAAAATCAAACCATACATCTCTATAAGAGATATTCGTGATGGATTAACATTACCGAAGATAGATTTTTATTTAATTTACGAAATTAATAAATTGGCATTGCGTTTGAATCTTCTTTTCCTACTTTTTTTTATATTCAATATACCACTTTCTTACTCGAAACGTTAGTTTTTATTCTCGGTTTAGTGGCACGATTATTAAGAAATGCACTAGCCAATGACGTTTTGCGTGACTCTCTCGTGACAAAATTCGAACCAATGGAGTAGTAGTTTGTGTCACGTTGCTCAAAATAAATTTTTAAAATTTTGTTTTGAACGGTTTAAATGTTTGAAAAAGTGCATACAAAGAACAGTGGCAATTAATTATGTTAAAAGCTTTAATTTTTAAAATAAAATATGCACGCTTTGGAGTTATTTAAGTTCCAATTATTTATTATTTCATTAAAACAAAAATAAAAAAAATACAGTTATAAAGATAAATATTTAATGATAAGCCAAATAGTTTTGTAAATTATAAAAACACGATTATTTGAATATATTGAAATAAAACACGATTTTAATTATATTTATTTAATTTTACACTGGAAAATTTATTATTTTTAATTATAAATTGAATGAAAATAGATGGAAAAATAAACATTCGAGTGGTTGTTATTCCCAAGAGAGTGATAGAAGTGAGAATCTTTATTCTATAAACAAATCTAAGTGATTATCTTGACTCGAATAATTTATCTTTGGCTTACTTTTCTTAAATAATCGAAATTAAATTTTAAACTCGATTCTAAACGTTTTCTTTTCTTATTTATTATTAACTTAAAAATAAAATTGTTAACATAGTTTAACAATTTTATTTTTTAACGTAACAGAAATTAAAAAACAAAAAACAACAAAATTTTCAGATACAAAATTATTTCGATTAAAATTTTAAGATATAAATTAAAGTTGCATTTAAACTTAAACCAAATAATTTAAGTTTAAAAATTAAATTTTTGATTTTCTTTCTTTTAATTTTATTCTATCCCTTTTATATTTTTGTATAGTTGGGTTTTTATACTATAAAATTTCTCTTAAGAGCTAGAAAATTTAAATTTTTAATAATATGAAGGATGCGGTTAAGGCATCAGCTCACTGTTCTAGAGGCTCTGTGATCGAATCAAACAAGCAACCTCAGGAATTTTTCCTGGCGATTTTAACCTCATCACTCGGCCACCCAATTATGAGCCTGGTTCTGCGATGGGTATGGGAGAAAGACATTTTGCATAGAGTAAAATGAGCAAAGAAAAAAAAAGATAGTTTGTATACTGTAACGAGGAAGTATACATTCCAAGAGGACTTTCTAAAGTTTTGCAAGTTTCGCTTTACCATGTTTTTAACAGGTAAAGCGAAACTTTCCCGTATTTACCTGTTAAAAACGTGAAGTTGGCAAGAAGCGAATTCACGACCAGTATTCAGTAGTTTAATTCCATCGGCCACTGATGGGCCAAAAAGTATTTAGTAACTAACTTAATTAATTAAATTGATTGAAAGAAACAGCTAACACTAAACATTATAAAATTGTATATTTTTGTAAATTTAGAGCATTAAGATACATAAGAAAAATGTGTTATTGTTCATAATACTATAAAATCGCAGTGTTAATTGCAAGTCTAATCTTAAAGTATTCATTTTTATATTAACTTATCTTGTAAATTAACAATTCCATATTTACTTTAATCTGAATTATAATGATTTTAAATTAAGGAATATTTAAAATAATACTCCAATAAATTCTGTGAAATGTCTGTATTAAAAATTTAAAAATATCGAAATTATAACAATTTTATCTGAATTAAAGAGAACAATTACAAAGAAATGTTCTCTTCTAAATATTATTAAATTATTCAAAAAATTATTTGAACAATAAGGTAATAAAATAACGTTTAAAGCTTGACTCAAAATTCAAAATTGATGAATTAATTTAAACTGGAAATTTTCAAATTAATTCGTTATTAATTCATGATATTGGTATCAAACTCAAACTCAGTATCTCCATTGAAGAATCTGGTTGTTGTACTTTTATGTTTAATCTTTAAATGTTTAATCAGTTTTTTTTGTTTTTTAATAGAAAAAGATGCGAAATAAAATTGCAAGTAATTTTTGTTTATATTATTTTAAATGAGAATATTNTTCCAAAAAATAACATTCCTTCCCTTGCACCTCCTCACCACCTTTCATTTGTGTCATCAAGACTTCTCAGCATGGATAAGTATGAATAAAAATAACACCCCAATACTGGTTAATATTAATCTGAGATCTACTACTTCACAAACCGGCAATAGAAAAGAACTACTCAAATGTTTGCTTCTCAAAGTGAATAGTTCTTTTTCTATTGCTGGTTTGGTTTGTGAAGTAGTGGATCTCATAAGGATGAATGAAATCATCTTTCTTCTTTATAAACTTTATTTGTTATTCAGTTGGTATGTTATAATATAATATTACATTGCATTTGTAGGCATTTTTATGGATGAAATACAACTAAAAAGGTAAAAAAAGGCTTTGTTTTAGGGATCTGGAACGAATTAATCCATTTTACATTGAAGCAAATTTTCCTATAAGAAACAGTTTGAGAACAAATCGGTTAATGAACAACTTTTAGAAATGAATTAAGTTTGCAAAGTTTGACTGTATTTTAATAATATATGTATGATAAATTTAATAAGATAAAGTTAAAACACCTTGTTTTATTTTTTTAACAGAAAAAATAAACCAGCTGATGAAGAGTATTAATGAACTGGAACATATTGGTTTAATTAAAAAATCTTAGTCAACTTTCAAATTAAATAACTGTGGTCTGATGAGTCCTTTGGAGTAGTAGCAAATTAGTAGCTATTAAGAATATTATGCTTTAAAATTAGTTTAAATGCTCGTTAAATGACTGAGCAGTGTTGGATTGCTAAGAATGCAATTTTTAATAAGAAAAATGTAATTAAAATAATAATGGAGTTAATTAGTACAGGCGTATCCCAGGTTACGACCATCTCACGATAAAGCAAACCGCAGATACGCATATATTTGTACCCCTCCCATGATCCGACTAAGCTACCCTCACAGATACGACGCTTTGTCCGTTGTTTGTTGCCAGCTGTCCGGTTTTTGCGTGGTATGTCCGGATGTCCAGTTGAAGACCAAAAATGTCTGGGTTTTAAGAAAATTTGGCAAATCGTCATTAATTTAATTAATTATTTTTGAATAATATAGTTGATTTTACTCAATGTAACAGCAGTGGACAGTGGTGGGTGCTAATCTCGAAATTTATAAAATATAATGTAAATGACATTAATTAATTAACTTCTGATATGATTACTAATCAAGTTTTTCAACTGGGGAGAAGACTGAATTTAGAAATTCATGTGGCAGATATTGGACAGTAAATTGAAACCTACGAGGAAAAATTAGCAAACGCAAAATTGATGGTGATACTACATGAAAAAAATATTCTAAGACTGATGAAGACACAGACACCGATCCAACACCAGTCAAAACCAGTCATTTGGAAATTAAAGAGATGCATTAATTAAAAAAAAATATTGAAAAACGAGTAGCTTAACTTTCTCTGCAACATTTGGTGCCGCTATCTGTTATGATATTTTAAATTTTTTTTCTATTTTTAACTTATAAAATGGCAAAAAGCTTAATTTTCAGGGTAGGGACGGGTTTTATAAAATATTGTAAACGCTAACTACGAATAAAAGTGTCATTAAGTCTAACCCTACTGAAGATACACATGATCCCCTTTATCGCTCCACCCATTTGACCTTTAATCAACAAAATTTAATAGCATCAATCCCATTTAATTCGTAAAATTAAACGGGATTGATGCTATTAAATTTTACGAATTTAAGGTATATATCATGCTCCAAAACGCCTGCTAGGGAAAAACTTTCGCAAACTTTAGTTTGTCATTTATTAGATTGGATTAATGGAGTTAAGGCCAATTCATATTTCTTGAGAATATTATATTACACTAGTAGCCAGGGACGCCCCCTGGTGGGCGTTGTTTACAAATTTCCATGAAGCACGGTTTCTTTGACTTTTTTGTTCCTATCAATATGCTCTATAGTTCTGTTAAAGTCCCAATGGTAAGATTAGGTGAAGAGGTGGCGACCCCCCCCCAAAACTGTAGCCCCCTAAGCGAACAATAAAGGCAAAGGAACCATACCCCTATTCGCGATCCTTCGCGAGATATAAGCCCCTGAAATAATAAATTCCTATTACAAATATACTGAATTATTTATATTGTTATATTGATCAAATAATAATTTATTGGCCAAATGAATAATAATAATTCATATTGTAAATTTAAATAAGAATTAAAATTGTTAATTTGAATGTTTGAAATATGACACACGATAGGGGCGCCTCTAGTGTCCGTTATCAAACGGTTAC